AATCGTTTTCAAAACCGCTTATTAAAACTCAACGATTTCATTGCTCCGAACAATTTTTCATGGGGGTAGTACACCAGCCCAGGGTAAGTGAATAATACGAATTGTTTGGTGAGATTAATATGCAATCTTGGGGCCCTAAGGGAAAAAATCTAACTTTATTATTGTTCTATATTATATATATATTGTTCTTCTACTGCCGCCCTTTCTAACCTTGTTTATCTCTTCTACGACTACGACTACGACGACGACTAGGACTACTGCTGCCACTACCACTACTACCACTACCACTACCACTACTACTAGTACTTCTTTTGGTGGCGGGGATTCTCTTCAGACCCCCGTGGATTGTTTGCTAGGAGGGGGGGGGGGCCCCCGTACTAATTAGGATCGAACATTAATGCAGCATGAAAGAACATGTGACAATCAAAGTGCAAAGTCATCGCATGAGACAATCGCTTCACTTGTTGCACCGAAGACGTTCGGAATTGAAGGGGGGCCCTTGGATTTGCTGACTCCCACGGTCCCACGGTCTGCTCGTGGTAGGCCTCCCATCGGCCCCATTGGGCTCTCGATGGAAGCGATCGGGTGCTCCGCATCTTCCAGGTGTACAGGACCTCTGCTGAAACACAGCAATCTGAGGTTTCCAGCCGAGGCGGAAGTCCAAAGAGACAAAACGAGACCGCCGGACTACCTGAGACTTGGCCAGTTGGAGGATCTTTTCGATAGCCGACGGTAGCCGAGCTTGCAAGGGATGTGCGGGACTGCGGGTTGTGAGATGATGCCTCGGAGGGCGAAAAGCGGACGCCATACACGTATACTCGGACTTGGGTGCTAACTAGGCCGAGGCGAGGAAATGGAGGTCTAGGATTCTAGGATTGATGCTGCACGACCAACCTCCTCATTAACCATTAAACTGTCCATTGGCTCGCCGGGCCTCGCTGGACATTGCAGTTGAGTAGTAGTTGGAGTTTATGAGGATTTGTCCAGTCGTGTCCAGGAAGGAAAGTGAACTCGTGGCCTTGATGGATCAGAATGGCATCGGCACCGATGCCTCGATCCCACAACACGTACAGCGACTTGGAGACCGTCAAGCGGGGATGGGGTTGGGTTGCAAACCCATCGAGGACCGGCAAAGGAAGCGCCAGAGAAGCCGGTCTTCTGATTGCCTTACAAGGCACACGATTGTGGGAACATGGTATGTCAATTCATGGTTTTGCTTTGGACTCCTAGTCCTAGAGCACCTGACTGGCGTATACGCGAGCGTAGCATGCCATGTCTCAAGTGTGCTTGAGCAAGCATTCACTGTTCACTGCGTTTATGGGCTGAAGGACTCACTTCATGTGAACCAACCTAGCCTACCACCTCGCAGAAGAAAAACGGGGTACCAAGCGTGCAAGCCCTCCAAGCTAGACATTGGACCTCCGAATGCAGGCACTAGCTTCAGCCTCACCGCCTTAGTGTAAGCATTTCACCAATTTTCCTCCCTTGACTGCGTTGGGATACTGTAAGTGCCTTGGTGCCCTTTTTGTGTTCTTCTTGTATTTGCTTGTTCTTGTTTGAGGAATGTGGTTGACCGGCACTACGTGATGATTTGTGGCCCCGGGGATGATGGACAACGCGGAGAAATCATTTCGAAAGGCAGAGGCAAGGGGAAGAAAGGCCGGGTTGCACACTTTTTTCACATTCTTCCGTCGCTCCAATGTGGAAGAAGCAAAAGCCTGGAGGCCACTTCGGCCTGAGGGAGGAGCATTTCTTGTGGGATTCTTTCATTTGCAGTTGATAGTGGCATACCTTTTTTGCGGGCCGCCCAAAGCTATATACTGTCAAATTTAGAGCAGGAAAGAGCAATTAACCATTGGAGTATAATACCTTAATACCTTTTGTGGGCCACCACCCCAGGGGCGAGAACAAAAACAACAAAACATCCTAAAGCCTCAAGCATTCAAAGCCCAAGCCTGAGCCATAGGCCGCCATAGACTCGCCTGGAGGCAAAGGGAAGGGCAAAAGCAAAGGAGTCAAAGGTGAAGATGGACGGCCTGCCTCAAGGCCCGGCAGGACCTGGCAGGGCCTGCTGCTTTGAGCTGATTTATGGACTATCATGGACCATCATGGATCGCTTGATTGACCTACTATGGTATGCGTTATTCATAATTACGCATGTATATGAATGTGGGTATGTCGAAGTAAAATCAACAAGCATACTTGCTATTACTGTACTATATGTTTTGGTTTTTTCATACACGTGCGCAGGTCGTTTCCGCCGTTCTCCGTCCACGTCACAATCACAAGCGTATTTCCTTGCGCAATTTATTGCTGTCAAACTAATCTCAGAACCATTGGTTACCTGCCTGATGTATTTTTTTGCTCGGCACATCCTTGACCACTTCAGTGGGGTTTTGGTGGGTTTGCGTCCAACCTCAGCGGTTGCCGTTGCCACAAATGTTGCCACCGGGTCCGGACCAGGCATATGGTGCCGACGCCACTGGGCCTCAGTATGTTGGCAGCCTTTGAGGAGTTGGATCCCCAGCATCTCGGCTTTTCCGCACCGTCCGCTCCGGCGCCTGCTGTTTCGGTGGGGAGGCAGCTCAGCCATTCGTCGGATCGGGGTTCTTCACCGGTGGTTTCCAGCACGCGATCGCAATTCGTGAGATCCCGGATGCAATGAGCGATTCCAGCAAGGTCCTTGGCTGAGCCTGCAAGGTGGGAATTCCAGGTTCATTTTTCCCGGCACTGCAAGCAGGTAACTTTGGAAGGAACATATCATTGGTGACCTTCTCTAGGTTCACCGTAGTTGTGTCAGTCGTGCCCACTGTTGTCTCTTTCAGGATGCACTCTGTAGTGAACCTGTACTGTAGAGACTAGAGAGTCAATGTCCATGTGGAGTGTGGTGGTTGCTACCACTGCTTGCACTGTCCTAGGCTTTGCAGACCGCCCATCCGTGCTTTCATGGAGAAGCAGGCAGACAGGATGCCAGGGGATTTGGCAGATTCACTTACTGCACACCTGGTGTAATTTCAATGTGTTGTCGTGGTTGGTTTACCAGCGAAGGTGCTGGTGAAAGCTATGAGATTTTCCGATCCTGCCAGTTCTCCTTAGCTTATTCTGTGATGCAATAGCACCGCACCAGGCACTGACAGATATATATTACATATATATATATATAAACTTGAGATTTAGGGTATCCCTTTTTACCATCTTCATGCTTCACTTGTACCGTGTCAATGCATCTATACGAGCACGGTGTCCTCATCAAGGAGGACCCGTTCTTAGGATCACAACTTTTCAGGTTCGTGTCTGAGAAACCTATGCTACAATGTTCTGAAAAAGGTTTGCCAGTTGTTCTCTACAAAAATAAACTGTGGTACGTACCAATCAAGGAAGGATGTCAGTCATTTAAAAAAATAACAACTACGGCAAAAGGTGTTGAAGTGCAGCTCTGGGACAGTGTTTGGCGCATGTTGGCGCCATTTACACCAGGACCAGGTAAATGAGCCCGACACCAACTGTCTGGTATAGTAGAAGAGGAGATTTTGGATAAGGTCGTGGAGTGCATGTTGTACCACCAGAACCTGATATATATATATATATATACACGAGGGTTGGTTAAGACAGAATGCTTGTATGCAGGTGTAGGTTACATAAAGGATGCCGTGTTCTACACATGTGAAGGCAGTTTTTAAAGGAGAAACCTTTGAATATCCAATTGTTAGACAGAACAGTATTGTTATGAAGGCAGGAGAAGAAAAAGAAGGAGACACATAAGACGATTCCTTGTCAAGCTTGTTTCGTATTGGGCTGGAAGTTTATGCAGCTAGACTTCACATGGTAGATGATCAAATGCAACATCAAAGGTGCTAAAAACGTGCACTTCCATATGCCGGCCTCAAAACTTCTTGGCATGGCCCCCATGACCATCTGGTTCCACAAGCCAGTGCAGAAGCTGAGGGTCCAGATTCTTTTTCTAGTAGGCCAATTCTTGAGCAGCACCAATGTCTTCTTGGCAGGGCAGCGCACTCGCCAGGTTGCCCAGATTGCAGATGGATTCTTGGAGAAGGCGGACGTGACGGCGCAGAATTTGGATTTGCCGCTGGCCAGAAACATGCAACACGTGGGCGTGGGTGGCTGAAAACTCGAAGACTCGCGGAGAAAAAGAACTTAAGTGCAGCTTCCCGCAGCACCAACTCCATCACCTGATACTTAATTAGTCTGGCATCGGATACGCAATGAGGGCCTCGTTTTTCTTGTTCTGTGGATACACTTTTTATTCCATGAGTGAATAGTGTGCCAACAGCCATAGAAGTAGAGGTCTTTGTGCGGTGGCCGGAAACAGATATACAACTGGTCCCTTGTCTTTCGTGGGGTCATTCATTTGATGCCCTCAAGGGACTCCAGAGAGCCCTTTCTAACTGAATCAGTGTGCTTCAGGTTCTTTTCCAAGTTCGTGAACTTCAGTGCTACTTGGTCAGCACTTGCAGCATGTGTGATGAAGGGAAAACCTGAAGGGAAGAATCTAAGAGTAAGAATGTCCCAGTGGATGATGCAAGCCGATGTAAGCTTTAACCATTTCCTGGCAGCTTGAGGGACTTGAGAGTCGCAGCGGGTGCCGTAGACGTTGTATGCATTAGTCGTTAGTTGTAGAAGAGTGGGTAAGTTTGTTGGACCGTTTTCACGTGCCACATCTCCTTGAGCACGCTGGCGTAGGAGAACATCAGCCGGCTTAATCGCTTTTTCATGAAGAAGGAACAACTGCAAGGCCAGGGGCTGGGGAAGAACTAGATCTAAGTACCTGCGTTCAGAAAATGTTCCTTCCCAAACTCGAAACCTCAATTCCTGAAAGGAACATAGTAGCTCGCACTTGAAGAGGCCCTTTATATATTCTTAGCACCTTTGTTACTAGACTAGTAGCTTCTTGTTACTAGTAGCGATGGCCTCCAACCTACTTGCCATGGCATCCACCAAGCATAGCGTCCTTTTCGATTCCACATGAGTCCATTCAACGGACCAGCGGTTTCATGTTGTCCGAACGCCCCGGACCCTTCGGACCCAAAGGGTCGAAGTGTGAGGTTTGTAAAGAAGCTGGATGTTACACCGGTTCCGCCCGGTGTGATCGCGGGTGGAAAGTTTGATAGATTAGTTTACAGTACCCTCCTGATTAAATACAGTATGTAAATACAGTATGTATGACATATAATAATATATTTCTGATTAGACGGGATATTAAACATCGTAGAGACATGCTGAAACTGAAGACTGAGACCTTCACGGAAGATTCCCATAGATTCCCCCAAATGCCGGGCTGCAACTATAACTATAACTACTATATATATATATATATGTGGTCGTTCTTTTGCTTCTTGGGGCAACATGGTGCTTTTTGGTATGGTTTGCATACTACTGGTGGATGGTTTTATCATCCCCTGTTTTTTTGGTGGGCACGCCAGGTCAATGGCAAGAGTGGGGCAGCTGGACGCCCAAGGGCAAAGGCCCTTTCCGGGCGGGCCCGGAAGGTGGCACTGCAACAAGTCTTTTTTCCTTGAGGTGTAGCTGATCAGCCTTTGTATGCCACCAGACTCCATTTGCAACCCTGAAGACTTGAGGACCGGAGTCGGTCGTTGCTGTGAGACGCAGCTCATAGCAAGAGCTGAGGTACCATCTTGCAAAGAAAGACCTCTCGCTGGTCTGCTCTGCAGAACAGTTTCAATTTTGGCCGACATTTCTGGTGAATCAGCTGAAAAGAGCTGAAAAGGGCACAGCACACAGAGTTTCCAGCTATGACTGGCTGGGTTTGTGGGCGGTCTACCAATTGTGGACCAGGTTGGCTTGAGACCTATACTCAATGTTTGCAGGGGATCGTTTGATTTCTCCCTAGATCCAACAAAGAGCCGTGGTTGAGTCTTTGATGCTATTTGCGGTGGTACTTGTGCTCGCCGCTTAGAGTGTGCCCCCAGAATTTCTCCAGTCTCTCCTCCGCTTTTTCGCGTCCTTTTCGTTGGATCGCTTTTTGGCCGTTCATGGTCAGGCAGCAGTCGAAAGACGTGACCAACGGCTGCACCAAAATGCGGGCCACGAACAGTCTCGGGCAAGCGACCCGGTCTCATGTGATCGCCTAACTTCGTTTGGTTGGATGGGTGTCGGTATCCAACTCGGAGTCGGCTTGCTTCAACTGAACATGAAGAGATAATCTCGCACAATGCCACAGAATTGGTGCTAAGGCTAAGTCTTATTACTTATTTGTTAAAGTCGGGTTGTAACATGTTGTAACATCAATTGGACCATTTGTGTGGAGGTTTTCCTAGAGAGAGGGGCTCTGAGCGTGGCGGATACCAGTAGAACGCCAATGGCTCTGCAGCTTCAAAACCATCAAGTTTGAACTTCGAATCCATCTCTGCCAAGGAACAGAATGGTCAAGAACTGCCATGCAGGAGCAGGTGCTCCTTCAAGGACATACAAAGAAGGGGTTCCAATGTTGGCGGGACCATGCGGGACCACTCACACTAGACGGCCTGATCTCTTTAGTCTTTAGAGAAGCATGAAAGATTTGGGTCTCAAACGGACCAATGCAATGCATGTGGCTAACTCGAAGCTAGCTGTTCTGTACGAAACAAATCCTAGAGAAGATCTAGCTGGCCGTAGCCTATGGCCAATCTCCTGGGGAGGAGGATGAGAGAGAGAGAGATATATGATATATATATATATATCTTGGTTCGCGGGAGGGCGCTTTGTCTAGCAGCAGACGCCTCACTTTGGGCCAGGAGGGGATTTTGGACAGACTCCGCTGTTGACACTCCGGGCGATAACATAGGTTACATGATACATGTGTGGATTTCGGGCGCTTTCCAAACGCACGTCATTCCCGTGGCATCCCTGGCATTTTGGGCCGGTGTTTGCCATTTCTATGGGAGGTGTTTAGCATGCGTGCAAGGTCAGGAAGGATTGCAAAGTCAAAAGCAAGCTAATCACTGCCCAATTGACTTGACATTTGACTTGAATTTCTTGCCAGGTCGTGAAGTGCACCAAGTGAGATGCAGCTGAGAAAAGTGGCGGAAGCACAGCTGAACATGTAAAAAAATTGGGCCCCGCTCGGCACGGCCATACAGGCGAGCATACACGATTGGGTATTCGGGGAACGTGTGCCGCCCTTTATTGGGGCGATGAACAGCATGCAAGCCCGGCTGGTCGAATGGAACACACGGCAGAAGTTCTGGAATTGGAGCGAGGCGACGGTGTTTCTCCAGTTTCCAAAACACACACAATATGTATATGATAACCAGTCGATAACACCTCTTTACATCTCTTTCACCCCTCATCCCTATGAACCGTTTCATCCACTGAGGTCAAGCCGAGAAGCCCGGGCCCTGTTGACCTCAGAGGAGATCGTCCGTGTTCTGGGTCAAAGAAAACTGGAATGAGTTCCGCAGTTGATGCACCTTTCCTCCTTTGACAGGGTTCAATCACCCACAGCAAGTTTGTTCCACTTCCAGATGTGCTTTTGTGCAAGGCCATGGAGGGGGGACTCGGCGCCGCAGCCACCGGGATTGGCCAGGTCTACCTGCTTAGATGACAGTATTTGGGCAGATTAGCAACAGGATCAATATCAGAATGCATGTACAAACACCCACCCGGCCCCACCTTGTCCCACCTATCCGGGCAATACAAAGCTCGTTTGGGAAACCAAATGTAATATTATATAGGTGTTCTTATCAACGGTCTGGTTGGCTAGGGATAAGGAAGGCAATC